CCTCGCGCGCTTCCCGCGCGGCCCTTTCTCCCTTAAAAGGACAGCGGGGCGCGCGCGGCCCACGGGGGCTCGATTGAGCAGAACGGGGCCGTGGGAACCGCGCCTGCGCAGAGCGGCGCGGGGGCGGGGCAGGGCAGGGCAGAGTGGGCGGGGGGTGCGGAGCGCGGGGGTCCGGGAGCGCGCGCAGCGGCGGGAGCGGCGCGCACCGCACGGGAGGGCGCGCGTGTGTGCGTGCGTGCGTGCGTGTTGGAGGGCGCAGCGCGGCGGTGAGTGACTGCTTTCCTTCGGCTCCTCGGTGGGGAGGGAGAGAGGGAAAGTACAGGCGGGTTTAAACTTTGAGCCTTTGGGGCTTTGTGGGGTTTACTGATTTTTGGGGAGGGGAGGATTTTTTTTTTTTTTTTAAGTCCAGCAGCCGGTGGTTTCTGTTCCACACAAGTTTTGCTGCCCCGGTGCGTGTCTGCAGTTTCTGCAGCGGTAAGAAAGACTTTACCGCCTCGAAACTGTTTGACAACCGTGGCGTTTTCCCCCTTTCCTTTTCTTCTATTAGTGGAGTTTTAAATGAGGTGCGGGCGGGGAGAAACGCCCCCCCCCGCATTGTTGCAGACCCATCCCGATAACTCTGACTCGTGCTTCCAGCCCCCAAGTACGGTTAAAGCCCCAATCCTTTCGGGGTAATGAGTAGCCGGTTCCCTACGATTTAACTCCGAAAGCGGTCCTAAGATGCGGGGCGGGTTGGGAAAACGGGGCTGCCTGGCGATGACGGGCTGCACGGCGCCTTTCCCGGGCCGCGGCTGCCCATCCTCGCCACGCGGGCGGCGTGTCCCCGCCGGCCGTGCCTGCCGGGTGCGGAGCGGCTGCCGCAGGTGCGGCCCCGGGCGCGCCCCGCAGCGCACACCTGTAGCGCCGGCCAGCACAACTTGGTGCCAGCGGCGCGGCGGAGGGAAGGAGAGGGGAAGGGGGCCCGCCGGTGCCCGCCATCCCTCCCTCACCGTGTTTCACGGCGGGGAGAGCTGGCAACTGGTTTTCTGGTATCGCTACTACTCGCGGAGGGGTCGGAGTGTGTGCACGCCCCGGGACGGGGCAAAACGCGTGTCTGTGGGCTGGCGTGTGACACGTGCTGTCGGTCGCGCAGGTCGCGGCGTGGGGCCTTTCGCCCTCCTGCCCCCGGCCCGGTGCGCGGTGTTGCCGGCTTGGGGAGGACAGTGTGGCGGGCGGCGATGGCGTCCTGCCGCTCCCGCAGCTCGGCGCCGCTGCAAGTCGCTCCGGTCCCCGCCGGCGTGTGCCCGTGCCCGGCGCCAACAAGTTTTAACTGCGGGCTCCGGGAGGCGTTTTCGCGGAGCGGGAACGGGAGCGGGGCGGGCGGCGTGCCCCCGGCGCGGCACGTAGGCAGCGCCCGGCTGCGGGGAAAACAAAGGGCTCGCATGTGCTGCGGGCGGCGCGGCTCCCGGCGCGCCGGGGGACAGCGCTCGGCCGCGCCGGGGGGGGCTCGGCCCTGGCGTGTGGGGGGTTGTCGGTGGGGGTGACACTTGTTCCGCGCGGGACAGTGTTTTTTAGGGGGCTGGCTGCCGTTTTTGGAGGAGTTTGGAGGAGCGGCGAAACTTTGGATGCGCCCGCGCTCCCCGTGGCACCGCCGCGCTTTGCGCACGGCGCTGGGGCGGGCGGGGGAGCCCCGCCGGTCGCCCCGGGGCTGTCGGGGGTCCGGGGGAAGGTCCGCGTCGCCCCCGCCGCGGCGTGACCGCGTTGCTGGGAGGTCTGCGACGGCCCTTTGAAGTGAAACTGTTGCCATGTTTGAATTACGTCAGGGCCGAGCCATGAGGAACCGGCGCGGGGCGGGGGGAGGACGGGACCGGAGAGGGGGGCGGCGGCCGTCACCTCGCCGGGACGGGGGGTCCCGGCGCTCGTTGGTGCGGCTGGATCCGCGCTTCCCGCCGCTCCCCCCCGGTGCCGGATGGGGCGGCTGCAGCGAGACCGCGTGGTGGGGCGGCGTTTGCAGCGCGGGGGCCGCCTCGGAGCGCCCACCTCCGCGCTCGGGGCTTTCCTCCCCGGCGCGCCGCCTTCCCCTTCCTGCGCCCTTCTCGTTTATTTTTAATTTTTACTCGTCTTTCGGCGAGTTGAACGCTCGGCAGCCCCGCAGAGGGAGGGGAAGGCGCGGCCACCCGCGTGTGCGCTCCCGCGGCTCCACCTGACCGGCGGGGCCGCCCGCGAAAGTAGGTCGTTCGCCCCGGGGGGTCTTTGTCCCCGCTCCGGCCCCAGCCCCGCCGGCGGTAACGGGGGGGAGCGGGGCCGTGCCCGGGGCCGGCGCTTCCCCCACGCCACGCGGTGCGCGGCGGAAAGCGGCGGGAGCGGCGCGACCGGGCTCTGCCTTTTCGAGCATCTCTTACTCGCTATTGTTTTGCATTTGTTTTAAACTTGCAGCGTTTTGTGCCGGGGAAGCGCTCCCAGTCGCGCTCTCCCTTTTGTGAGGTAAAAGTCGCTGACTCCTCTCGTACATCCATCTCGTGAAGGGGATTTAAAGGGACCTGCCAAACCTGTTGTTTACTCGGCCCGTCCCTTAACGCAGCGAGCGGCGCTGAATCCCGCCTGCCCCGGGGCTCCCCCGGTGGCTCTTTCCTGGCGGGAACGGCCCCGGTTTATACTATAAAGAGCCTTGTCTGCGTCAGTCTGCTGACGGCCCGTCCTTCGGACCCAAATTATTTAATAATCATTACAATTGCAAAAAAGTTTGGAGCCGCGCTGTGGCTGTGCAGGCAGCTGGCGCAGGATGCTGCCCCCCAACCTGGCGCTGTGTGCCTGAACACGTGTCTGTCTCTCTGGGCTCAAGGCCGGGCCCTGCCACCGTCCCCTCGTGGCTGGGGAGTGGGGAGGAGAAGGCCCAGCGTGCTGAATTGAGCCCAGAACGGCAATAGCTTTGCACTTGTGGTGGAGACCGAGTAATGTGCTTGAGCGCAACCAGTGATGCTCTCTTTTTCGTTTTGAGTTTTAATTCGGCGCTTAGGAAGGTGGCAGATTGACGGCCGTGGAGACAACTCTTTAACTGGTTGATAAGGCACGCCAGGAGAGTAATGGTTCTGCAGCAAACTCCTTTACTACTGTGGGTGTACTTACAAAGGTGAGACAGTTTCTGTCATCCATGTGCTGGGTGTGTGCACACCCCCTTCTCTCCAGTCTGCACACAGACAGTTTCCCTGTGTAGTTTACAGCTTTTTCAAATAAAGAGAACAAGATCGCACAAATTCCGCACCATAGGGACAGACTAGAAACCTTTCTGCCGGCACCAGTGGACACTGACCTCCTTTGGCACACAGGTAAACTCTAGGTTTCTTGGGATCTGTGGTCTGTGGTAGAGAGTCAGCAAGTAACAAGTCGGAATTTTCAAACACACCCACAGGCATGCAGCATCCAGCTCCCACTGAAAGTAGGTGGGATTGAGTGCCAGCGCCTCTGGGAAAAATTCCTCCTCACTTCATTCTCTAAAAGGAGCTAATTGCCTATGTGATCAGTCTTCCTTTAAGAAGAAAATATCACTGACTTCTTAGTAAAAGTTGTTAGATGATAAATTCAGAGGTTAAAAATAAAGTTAAAACTGTAACGGTTTGTTGTCTTACTCGTGCTGAGCAGCTCTTTCTCTGTGTTACCAAACTCTGCTTTGCATTGATTCTTAACAGCTGATGCTTTGTACTTCTTTCTTAACTGAGATCAACGACATACACATGGTTCTACTTGACAATCAGCTTCACACTTGCACCGCTTGTAGCACTTGCTTTTTAACACAAAGAAGGGAGCTGGGGCTTGAAAATTGAGGTTATGCAGAATGCATGAGCAGGACTCCATTTCACAACTTAAACCTTTGCCATTGTAGAATGTGGCTCAGTCCAAAGTCCAAGTGAAATTATGAGTAGTATTACTTAAGGAAATGAAAATGTATCCTTTTTTAATGAAGTCACTTCAGCTATTCTGCCGAATAATTACTACTTCTTCTGTTCAAATCCCCATCTAGGTATGTTACTCTCTTTTAAAAACAAACAAGAAAAACCCCAGCCAAAAAACACAAACAAAACTGTTCAGTGTCTCATGATCTCAAGTGTCTGTGATGGTTTTTCAGTAGCAGGTGATTGCAAATAGCATCATAACAGCTGTGGTGACTGTTTTCAGATAAGCATCGCAGACTGAACTCCAGCATTTGTTTGAGAACATCCCAGGTTTTCCTTGTTGGGCTCGTGCTCAGGCTGAGCATGATGTTAGTTATGCAACAGGAGTTTCGGGCAGGGGGAGTCGTCTTTCAAGGTGGAATGTCTGCCGGTGGGGCAGGTTAGGGATTTTTTTTTTTTTCCCCCCTATGCAAATCTTACTGATTACTGTTTTCATGCTTTGGCCTATCCCTTCTTGAGGACTAACCACATGGCAGTTTAGAGGAACACCCAAGTGACTTAGCCCTTCAATTCTGTAGTTCAAGTGGGCTAGAAACTTACTTCCCAGTGAAGATCAGCAGGTAACTAGGCTCCTTTGTGACTTGATTGCATCTGAAAACTTAACTCGGAACAGCTTGTGACCCAGCCAGGATGTCCTGAATGCTCAAACGTGGGAAAGAAATGTCCAATTTGATTTTTGGTACGTGCTGAGCATTTGCTGCCAGCTGCATCTGGTGTGCTAAAATTTTACTGCAGCTCAGAGCACACAACGGTAGCTGTGGACAACTACCAGCAAAAGAGTGAGTTACTTATTTTGGCAGAGAAAAGATTCCTGAAGATGTAGGTTTGAATTTTGCTGGTTTTGCTCAGCACATCAAGTGAAAACTCCACAGCATGCTGTTATATTCAGATGTGTCCTGGGCTGTAAAGGCCAAATACAGCTTTCCTCCAAGTATAAAGTTGTTTTGGGTGGGGAGAGGAAGAGAAGTGGAAGGAGAATCTGAGAATATAGGGGACCAGAACAGTGTAAAATATGCACAATTCCAAATTATGGGTGTTGGAAACTAGTCAGTCTGTTTTGAGCTATAAGGACAGATGACCGACTAAAAGAAATATTCTTGCAGATACTGAAATTGCATTTTCAGATGACTCCAATTAAATTGGTCTCTTTCATCCTTGGAGCATCCTGGCTTTGTGCACGTTGAAGTGTTTTTTTGGGGGGTCCAATTTTAACTTCTGTTCCAAGGGGTTTTTTTGCAGCGTGTAAACTCATGGTGGAGGTATGTTTACATTGAGCGTCTGATACAGATCAGCTACTCTGTAGATGTACAATTTTCTGTCCTACAGTTGATATTCAGTAGAGATATTGCAGTTTATTTCAGCGGAGGGACAGGCCCAAGAATTTATTGCGAGACAAACAGCTCTGCTCCTGGCGCCTCAGACAGCTCTGGAAGCATTTTCCATGTGTGTGCATGTGCCTGGGTGTATGCACTTGCAGATGCAAAAGGCAGAGCATGTATATTTTTTCTATATTAAGGCATCTGTTTCTTTTCCTTTAAAAGAAAGAAAAAAATCATATCATTTTGGCTGTGTTGCTTAGTTCCAATGAGATGCTACAGAGACAACAATTGGGAGACTTTTTACTGACAGGAACCGGCTGCATCAACATATGTAGGCTACATCGTATTTTTTTGTAGACCAACTTGAGGGAGGCTGTGCCAAAGCTGTTTTGTACACATGAAGGCAAATCAAATTGTTCTGCTCTTCTCTGGCAATGTACTGGCAGTTTTGGATTGTACAAAGGGTGAATGATCCAGGTCAGAATGAGGAAATAGGAAGAGAGAAAGGTATTGAGTAGTTGTACTGGCATCCCTCTGGTCTCCCTTAACTCCGGGGAATGTTTCTCTTTCATCTTTGCAACAAGCAGGTGAGCATGTTCATTCCAACTGGCCTGATAATTGTGTTACAAAGGGAGACGTGCCTGCCTTCTAGGAATTCCATCCTTTCTATTATAAAAGGTTTTCATTCTTCTTGGGTGATCAGAAAGAATGCAGAAAGAATCTGGAAAAGCAAATGGAAGTGGCTCAGCTTACTTTAAAATCTAAGAGTTCAGAAGTTCTTCCATAAAGTGAAAACTTAACGAGCATCTACAACAATGCCTCCTTCTAATTTAGATCATCAAATTAAATTTTGCAAAGAAAACTAAGCACCAAATTCTAGTCCTGACAGGCAACAAAAGCACGAAACCGTTTTCACACATGTAATGGTGCATGCTGCTTTGTACCAAACTTCACAAAGGTAATAAGCAGGGTGTGGGATTCTTTTATTTCCCACCTACTTTATTGTTCTCTTCCTAACTCCAATTTTTTTTGCAAGGCAAGTTTCTGGTTTTGATGCTGCTTTTCTAAAAGTGAGAGGGCAGAATAATGGAGAGAGGTTTTTCCTGGTGTCTTTTCTGAGTCCGTAAAAGTTGCTAAAGCAGTTGTGTAAAGCAGAACTTGGGGGAATAGCAACTTCTGCAGGGAGAAGCTGCAGAGAGGGAGACCAGGGAGGAGGAGGAGAACCACTTTTCCCTTAACTTGGGGGAATCCAGCTTCCCTGCTAATGCAGATAAATCTCCATTTCTGTAGAATGACAGATAGACTCCGCCGAGATTTCTGATTCTTTGCTGGTGAGCTGTCCCTTTTGCTTCTGCACAACTGCTGATTTTAAAAATGTCATATATTTTAATGACATGCCTAAATTTGGAAAATAATAACAAGCTTAAATAACATTAACAATGTGCTTAAGTTTGGCAAAATTAGGTTGTGTAATTCTTTCTTATTTCTTCACAAGTTACTTAGTTCTGACTTGCCATCTTTTCATCTGTCCCAAATTTCACATGGTTAAAATACCACAGCTAAGATTCAGGTGTTAGAGTAGCTGGCAGTCTAACTCCCTAGTTCTAATTTGAGATATGAATTGCAAAGCTTTCAAATGGCACAGTCATATGTACTTCTAAGTGCATATTAGCTATTAAGCTCTCCAGCTGACAGAATATTTAGTGTATAATGGTCAAATGGCAACTGTTTAGGATTAAATGTGTGACTGGACCGACGCCTTCCATTTATAACTGCACTTCAATGCAGTTGTTAGAGAAATCTGTTTAACTTGTGGTTTTGCTACTAGCTCTTCCCCATTCAGGCATGATGTATGGTAATACTGTTGCTGACCATTCATCAAGTGGGAAACAGATGGCACTAGTTTCCCTTCTATTGAAGGATGGTGTTGAAAGGCTGCTCCTGTGAGAATGGCAGCAATGATGCAAAACAAAATATTTTCAGAATATGTGTTTGATGCCAGTCTTTGCCAGAACATTAATACATCTTGTTCTACTGTGGTGTAAATACCAGCTGGTGACAGAGATCATCTTATTAGCGTCTGGATTTCTGGAAGAATCTGGGTTAGAAAGCAAATCACATTGTTGATGTTGATATGAGTTCTGTTCTTGCCATGCAGCAGTCAAGATGTACTTGCTGCATAGGTTTTGCAGCATTGTGTCTGCAGGGAGTCATGGATTTTCTAAATAAAAGTACCAGACCATGAATTTAACACTGGGGTAGTCAAACAACATCTAAAATTGCTGTTTAGAAGTTGAAAATTCCCAGCTGAGTATGCTGTTGGGTCTCCAGAGGCTTGTTAAATGGTGTTCATAATAGAGTGTCTCTTGGAGAAGCACATCAGATGCTAAGAAACAAAATACATACTCCAAGTGTTTGCCTGGACTCTGCTGTGTATTTACCTTGACAGGGCAGGGATACTGACCTGATTTGGATGTGCTTTAGTTTGCTACGTGTCCCTGAAAACACAGCTGAGGGCGGTAACCATCCCTCAGTGAGCCCATTCAGCGGGTCATGGACTGCGTAACTTCTGCCACCCGCACTGGATGCTGTGTCTGCTCGTGGCTTCCAGGCTGCTGCTGCGCTGGTGTAGGGAGCAGTGCATCTCCTGAAAAGCCTGGCAGCATTTGGGGTGACTTTGCTGCATATTTGCACAAGTCATCTTTGGGAGAATGTGGGAGAACGTACCCCTAGGTGAGCGTGCTGCAAATGTGAAGAAAGGAATACAGCACCTCGAGCCTGTGGTAGACAGCATGAGCTGGGATGGGGGGTGAGGGGGGAAGGAGACACCTATCCCCTCCATTCTCTCCTAAGCTTGGAGGGTCTCCTTGGCATTCAGCTTGCATTAGCCCTTTGCCATTAACAGGCTTTGCAAAGCCAAGAGAAGCCTTATGGGGAGTTGACTGATTTCTTTCTAAGTGTTTTTGTGGTCGTAATTGCAAGGAGACTCAGCTTCAGTGGGCACGGAGTGGTCTTGTGTGTGCTGTACTGAAATGTAAACCTACGCACTCTAAGCTGGATATGGGTTCCTTAATGGATTTTGTGTAAGAGTATTAACCAAAAATATTGGATACAGTTTTTGCTTTTCCCTCGTTCTCGGCAGCTTGGGAAACTGTGTGTTTATTTTGCACTGCTGCTGTGCTCTTGATCTTCCCCTCTGTGGCTGAGGGGGATGTATTTTCACCTCTCTATGTGGAAGACTGTGCTTAGGCCTGGGTGGTTCACTTAGTTTTTGCTGTGGTCCCACAAAAATGCACAGGATCTCTTTTCCGTGCACAAAATCTCTTTGTCAGTGAGGTAAGCGCAGTGCTACATACAGTTGTTTTGTGGAAGCATGTTTTCGACCTCACCTGAACCTGCTTTTCAAATTGTTTTATTGCCATAATGATGTGGCAAGTCTTGGCAGTGTAGACTGAAGATTTGAGTTTAATTTTCTCTGTCCCACTGGAAGATATTAGAATTACACTCCTTACCTTCCTTCAGGTGGAAGATTTGGGGACAGATGCCTATGCCACATATATAAACCAATAACCCAGGTTGGGTTGCTGGGACTTGGCAATCCTTGGGCCTGGCAAATGACTGGGAGTTCCCTCTCACTAGACTAGCCCACAAGTGATGGAGATGCTGCTCTCCCAAAAGCCCTGCCTGAGCTCCTGGGTATTTCAGTAGCATTTGTGGGAAGGCCAGATAGTTTTCTGGTAGTTTCTAGGAGAATAGGACGACTTGGGGTCTTTTGTTTAAGGGAAGAGGGGGAAATGTGTTACTTGCAGGGCTCCATCCAATTTTAATTTTTGAAAAGCGTAAGTTCTCAGCAGGGGGAACCTGTTCTCAGGGAGCTTCCTGCAGCCAGTGGCCTGTCCCCTCTCTGAGCAGGTAGTATGTGATAAGCAGCAGAGGTGGCTGCTCACTCCCTGCAGCAGGTGGTTGAGGCAAACCTTGCACCAGGGTCTGTTCAAAAGAGAACTTCTTGGAACAGTCCTTGCCTGTGTTATGAGGCAGATGCTGTGTGGCCTGTGAGGACTTGCTGTGTGTCCAGGCCCAGCGCCAGAAGAGCACCAGCTTTGCTCAGTTGTTGGTTTGGTTTTTTGAAGTGCTGTGGGAACTGTGTTTGCTCTGACAGCTTCTCATGCCGTGTCAGACTGTGCCTAACAGGAATCTGCACTGGGGAGTAGCTTGCACCAGGGGAGAACTTGTTTGGTGGTGGGGACACCATGTGTTGAAAAGGTCTGTGTCGTGGTGACTGCAGTAAATCCACTTGTGACTAACTTGAAAAGTTTCTGCCTGGAAAACAGCCTCACTGTATGATACCTGCTCTGATAGCAAATCCTAGCTTAGGAAAAGAATAGGCAGACCTCTGAGAGTAGGATGGCATTTTTGGCTTTCTGTGTTGGTGCCGAGTTTGCAGAGCTGGTGGTTAAAAAATTCCCTTTAACTGCAGCTCCAGTGTTATTGGCAGCGAAGCGTGGTAGGCACATGCTGAGATGTGCCCCAGGGTCCTGCTCCCTGGCCCTTTTCTAGTAAAGTTTGCTTCCCATGGAAAGCAGCTGGGTGGGGAAGGCAGGAAGGCGAGAATGGAGCATGTGCTGACACGGAGCTGGGATGTGGCTGGGATGCTCACCCAGGCCTGAGAACAGAGCAGTGCTCCTGGGTCCTGCAGCACAGACGTGGCCACCGAGGGCTGGGTGGGACTCCACCCTGCTGTTTGTAGAGCGGCTTTTCAGGTATGTCTGCCCTACAGCCTCGAGCTATGACTGCAGCTCATTTAAAATGACTCCTACTCACTTTCTGCAAGGTTTGGCAGGGGTGTTTCCAGCCACAGGTGGTGGTGATGAGGTAGTTCCAGTGACCCGGAGTTCAGCTGCCAGCTCCTTTATCCAGCAGCTTGGGCAGATTCACATGGCCTGTCCTGCAGCCTGTTTTACCACATACACAGGGCTTTCATTAGCCGAGTCAGCTGCATTCACCCCTCTGGGTTGTGCTGTTCTAGATGTGCCCTTAGAGTAGATTTGTGCAGTAAATTAGGTTGTTAGGAGTCCTGCTGGGTATTGCTTAATATTCCAGCTGTTAATTACATAATTTTTTTAACAAGTGCATTCTAGGTGCCTCTGCTGTTCTGAGGCAACATGGGATAAAAAAAAATGGTGCCCCAATCTAGCAGTTTCCCATCGGAATTATAATTTACCTTTGCCCAGGTTTTCCTTTCAGTATCTACAGTGATAAGTAACACCAGTTTCTCTTTGTTTTCACAGGCTGCTGCTGGGAAGAAAAGATGTTTGGCTTTCACAAACCGAAGATGTATCGCAGTATAGAGGGCTGCTGTATTTGCAGAGCTAAGTCTTCCAGTTCCCGTTTCACTGACAGCAAACGTTATGAAAAGGATTTCCAGAATTGTTTTGGGTAAGATTCTTTCTTTAGTCAACGCCAGTGGTCAGTTATGACATTGATTTCCAGGCCTCCAACCTGATGTGTTGTCTTTCTTGACTGAAAGATTAGGTTAGCAGAGGTGAGTGGTGGGAAAAGGCTGCCTCTGGCTTCCTCACAGCTTTCCTGAGCAGACAAGGAGGGGCTGGATCCTCTGCTGCTGTGTACCGGTACCGTTTTATTTTTGATCTGCTCTTACTGCCCATGGAGAGCTGCTCATTCTTAACAGCAAAGTTTTGGGCTCATGCCCTCACCCACCTCACAGCACATGCAGGGATTTAAACCCATCTCAAACTCTGCGTTTTTCACTTGTTCCACAAAGGTGTAAATACCTACACAAAATGATGAACTGTACCAGGTCCATGGGGGCTCTCTGTGGTCTGAAGATTCAAGAATGTTAGATAAAACTTGAGGAGTAAATATTTTGCAGTTTCAGCGGCATTTATATGGAGTACCTGTTATGGATATTGGTGTCTTTGTTCAAATAGGACATGTCAACATGTTATTAAAACTTGTCATTGGAAACCCCTTCTGATGGAAAAAGCAAGCATCAAGTAATTAGCTTTCAAATTAGGTAGTGTTGGTAAATAAAACTGTAAATACAAGTGATTTCTTGTGCCAATTACTGTGACCTTTTAATTTTTTTAAATACTTTCAAAGAGCTTTGAAATTTTGTATAACTATTCCCCCCACCACCTTTTCTAGAAACACTGCTTTCATGTACAACTTTATAGTGCTTTGTATTTACCATGGATTTTTGTACAGAAGTCTGGTGGTGACACTTTTCCTTATATTTCTTGACTACTGTCCTTGGCAGTCAAAGACTGTGTGAAGATACATTGCTGGTTTTTTTTGGTTGTTGTTAACTACAGTGAAGCAGCTTACAGTGTACCAGGGCCATTGGTCTTATGCTTTCTGTTTGCCAAGGTAAAAATGCAGTCTTAACACTTAGCAAATACCTAAGCCTGCCCCATTCATCTATAAATCTTCAAAGTCTTCCTATTTAAAGAGCTGAAAAATTCTACAGTGTTTCCCCTTTATATTTCTTTTAGCATGGATTAGCATTAGAGATGGTTCCTGAAGAAAGCTTGTTAAAGGGAGCGAGTATTGCTGTCATTCCAGTGACTGGTGTTTCTGAAACCTTATCCTGTGCTTATGTGGGAGTGTGTTAGGTGGTATTTGTTACTCATCCTTGAAGCTTTGTGAGAAAGTTAAGACCTGAATAAGCTGCTCGTGTTTGTTCCCAAATGTACGTTTGAGGAACAGGATTATTCCTCCTTCTGCAATCAAAATAACAAACCCACTGGAACTGTGTGTTGTTTTCTGGGTTTTGCAGGGGAAAAAACCCCAAAACCTGAAGGTGACAGGAATGTTGCTTTCAGTGCCCCTCTGGAGGCAGATTATTTCTTTTATTTCTGTGTGGAGGAGTGCTTTTTGAAAGTGAGACGTGGTCTTCAAATGGCCATGTTTGAGCACCCTAGATGACTTGTAATGCCTGAAAAACAGAACTTGAGAACTCCTCTTAATCATCAATTTTTATGCTTCTTTCTGTTATCAAGTGGGGGTATGCTTTTATTAACTGTAGTTAAGTGATCTTTGCTTTTGTTTTTACCAGGCTCCACGAGGCCCGTTCAGGAGATATTTGCAATGCCTGTGTTCTTTTGGTGAAAAGATGGAAAAAATTACCAGCAGGATCCAAAAAAAACTGGAATCACGTTAGTAATTTATTTCTTCCATCCCCAAACCGACTCTAGAAAGAGAGGGGAGGTGCTGGCAAAGATTTGGGGTTTGCTCTTTCCCCCACGCTTTCTCTTCCCACTCTCAGCATCTCTAAACCCTTCCTGGAGTATTTCCTATTTTGTGGCTCTTACCTGCCTTCATTTGGCTTATGTGCAAATGGTGATTATGCAAGCCCGAGATGGAGTCACAGACTGACTTACCTTGTAATTCCTTGTTTTCACAAGCTCATAACTTTGTCCAAAAGTCTCATATGACACTCAAAACATTTCAAATTTGGCCTCTATCCAAAATTGGTTGCTTTTTTTTTTTTCCCAAGCAAGTGACTTGCTCCAGCAACACATAAATCAATGTCATTTAACCAGACAATTACAATGACTAATATCTCGCAGCAATTCCCACTCATATAATATTCTTGTTTGATACACCTAATTCAATTTGGGCCTAGGGCTGGGAAGATGATCAGGATTCCTTGTGTATGTAATAATCTTTATCCAGGAAGCCTTGATGGTAATGGGAGCCAGAACTATAGTTATCACTACCACTAGCTTTGCTCAGAGGTTAAATTTATGATTTAATAACCAAAAACTCCAGGGCAAGTGCTTGGCAGACACTCCTAACTGTACCTGTATTAGTCAAAAATGGTAAGTGGGCAAAAGTTGAACTTTTAAACTTTTAAACTAGTTTTCTGCATTTTCCTACAGACTCAGCCTCTTAAAAGCCAAATTTAAATGAAATGTATGAGTGTCACTGCACAGAACTGCCTTGGATTAACTAAGTTGGTTTTGAGCACCTTTAGCTAAGTCAGTTCAGGTGCCTTGGCTGGGGCAGTATCTGGGCATGATGCAGAAGTGTTAGGCATGCATTTTCTGTGTTCTAGGTGGTAGATGCCAGGGCTGGACCCAGTCTTAAAACAACATTGAAACCAAAGAAAATGAAAACTCTGTCTGGAAGCAGAATAAAGAGCAATCAAATCAGCAAACTGCAAAAGGAATTCAAGCGGCACAGTAAGTGGATCCAAAGAGATTTTGGCAATAAACTTTAGCCTCCCCTCACATAGCTTACAGTTAACTGGCCAAGTTGAATCACCATCTAGATTTGCCTGTACACTCACACATTTGGGCGCTGCCTGTTTTCACAACCTCTTGTTCTCTTAGACCTTGGAGAGGGGGTGGAATGAGGAGGAAGAACATGCGTGCAGGGTGGGTTGCAAGACAGAGGTGGGGAAGTGGCAAGGGGGGAGTGTGGAGCCTGGCTTGAAAGAGTGGGCAGTTGTAGCTTATGTCCAACACTTAAATGACATGTCCTCTAAAAAGAACGTCTTGGGCAAGACCCTCTTGGAAGCTGAATCTGGAAGAGGCTTTGTATTTAGCCTAGACTTTCCCTCACCCACCCCTACTTTAAATTCTTACCATGTTTCCTTATACCTTCCTCTGCTGGTCTCAGTGATTTCTTTCCAGTAGCACATGGACTATTCAAATGGATTTGGATTCGTAGCTTGCCAACAAAGGCATCTGCCAGTTATATTCTAAATATATGTTGGTACTTAAGTTTTTTTCTGAAGCAAACCAACTTCTTAACTGTTGGTAACTTGGTCTTCTCTCTCCTTCAATTATCCTACCTGGCTTGAAGGAGAAGTCTCCAAAGAATCAGTAAAGGCCCTGACCCAAAGAGCTTGTATCTCCTCATTCAATGTGCTATGGTTAATCTAGTTGTTTTACTGTGTCAGCTAGAGATGACAGCTGAAAGGTAGGCAAGTGGACACTCTGTTAAGGTGTGTGTCTGCCCAGAGTCTGTAGTTTATAGTCTTGATGGAGCAAAAGCTCAACACCACCTAATGCATAATGAGAATACATATGTATATACACACACACACACATATAATGCGCTAGAGAGAAGAGCTTTACAAGACTTTACCTGAACAGGTGAGAAAGAAGAGTTACAGTGAGAGAGAAAGTACTAGGTATGAAGAGCAGATCCCACTGTCTTAAAGGATCTTCAGTGATCCCATAGCATGGCCTGCATGGGCTGTGTTTGAGAGCCAGGAACTGAAGCCTGATCCTAAACCTCTTTCCAATCTCTCATGTGCAGGGACCCCCTCTAGTTCCAGCGTCTACTTTGCAGATGCTGACAGATTGCCTCTGTAGTGAAACCTGGTGGGGGCAAGTTAAAAAAAAATGGGTTGTCATTGTTAGGTTTATCTTGTTAATTAAAAAAAAGTCTGTTTCTCTGTTCCCGGTCCACGTGTGACCTTTTACAAGTCAGGAAGAGGATAAGTCTTTGGATGCATGTCCTCATTTTGGCATTTATTCTTTCCCCCGCAGATTCTGATGCCCACAGCACGACTTCCAGTGCCTCCCCGGCTCAGTCGCCCTGTTACAGTAACCAGTCCGACGATGGCTCTGACACGGAGATGAGTGCTGGGTCCAGCAGAACACCAGTTTTCTCCTTTTTAGATCTCACATATTGGAAAAGGTAAAAAGGTGCACTCCGTGCAGGTGGTGACTGACGTCACATGCACGCTGCTTGATTCTGCAGTCTTCAGGAGTTTGTTGCTGCTGAACTTTCTTTGGTCTGAGGGTATAGTTAAAGTCCCAGAGCATTACACGGTACCTGACTGTTTTTCTTTGGGAAGAAATGCTGTGTACTTGAGGCACTTTCCCCTATCTCCTTCCAGTTTCCTATACTAATGCAGGTGCTGGAAAATATTTTTGCTGGTTTTGGGAGCAGCAGATAATATTCCCGTCTGTCGTTATCTTTTCTTAAAACTATGCCCTGTAGATGTGATGTGTTGCCAAATACGAGAGTGTTCTCAACTTGCCAGCAAACACAGCATTTGATTTGGTTGACCTGTGATGGTAGTCATTTGGAAAAAAAAACAAACAACAAAACAATAAATCCTGGAGTGGGAGGAAAACCACAAGGTTTTCTGGGAGCTGATGAGCTTGTTATCTTTTATTGCATGTTGTGACACAGTAATCCCTTGTTTAGCTAATTGCTCCGTTGAAATTGTTGTGACTTTGCTGCCTCCTCTCAAATAATGTTTGCAAGTGCATTGTAGCCAAGGTTAGTTCAGCCCAGATAGCTGTGTATCTGAAACTTCCCTGGGAAGCAAAGTGGGAGACTTAGTTTTGCAGAGACATGTTTGGATTTTTTTCTCCATATTTTTATTTCTTCCCCAAAGCAGTGTTGTGGATGTAGACACAGACTTGTTTTCTCTTTATGAGCAGCCTTTTTGCCCCTATCCTCTGAGCTGGAGGCTCAGTAGTGTCTGGTGTCACGCTTATTTTATGCATGTTTGTAAATTCTGTATATTCTAAACACACAAAGTATCTGTCTCCCTGCCATTTCTTCCAGGCAAAAGGTCTGCTGTGGAATTATTTACAAAGGTCGTTTTGGGGAAGTCCTCATAGACACTCATCTCTTCAAACCTTGCTGTAGCAATAAAAAGTCTGCCACTGAAAAGCCAGAACAAGAAGGACCACAGTCTCCAGCAATCTCCACCCAAGAGGAGTGGTGACTTCCTTGGATAGCTGCAGAAGGTTACTCAGATCCTCTTATTCTCTGGAAAAATACTAGAAGAGTGACTGTTCACTTTGGACACCTGCTATGCTGCCAAAAGACTATTCCCTAGAACTGTTTTGGGTTTTACTGCTACAATTCCACAAACTCTGAAGCCAGTTTGTATCCTTTCAGAAAGACTGTACATAATATTTAAGATGCTATGGAACACTTGGCAAAGCTGAATGCTGCTGCAAGGTTGTCTGATCTTCCCCCCACACTCACTTCACAAGTGAACGTGAGGATGGGGTTTTGTATATTAAAGTATATGTAGTTCATGTTTCTGTAATTGAAAGAAGCAGTGGTTGTAAGGCTTTTTTTTTTTTTTTCTTTAAAAGTTGATTGGTAAACTCCCTTAAATCCCCAAGAAAATATTTCATTCTTAGACATGTATGAGTCAATAAGATGAACTAATACATAGAAATGTTATAAGTCACCTCTCTAGTTATATAAATATATATTTTTAAAGGTGTGGAGATTTCACCCTGTACTACTGACGTAACAAAGACAAATATTTTGTCCCTCCCTCGTGACACAGACTGGTAAACTGCAGACATCTCTACTACGAGTGGTAGCTTGCTGAGAAGGCCTCTAACATACAGTCCTCCTCAGAAGGGGTGGGAGAGCTCTCCACCTTAGCTGAGGAGGAACATAGCAAAATGGGAGGTTACTTTGTTTTAAGCCATCACCAGACACCCTGGGCATGGTGTAGTAACCAGCTGGTGGTTAGAGATGGACCAAGAGACATCTTGATGCCTAGGTTATATGTAAATGATGGCCAGAACTGAGTAACTGCTCTCAGTTGGCCCAGTGCAGCTGAAATGTGACCACAAACAGGACTCCTCCTGGTTTTGGACCTGACATAAAACCAAACCCCTTGCTAAGCAAATCAGGCTCTGGTCCAGGGACATAATCTGATTGCAGCCTGGGGTCTGGATTCACAGTTGCTCTTTTGAAACCCTTCCTCTGCAGTGCTTCTCTGTGTTTGGGTTTTGTTTTTTCTGTTTGTTTGTTTAAGCAGCTGCCAGATCAACGCTTTTGTGAATACTGAATATGAAAAGTTCTGTTAAGAATGGTGCTGTGCTGAATCAAGGCAGAGCTCTGTTTGCATTCGCGATCAAAAGATAATACTTTCTACATAGATTCCCAGACAAGCTCATGTGCAAATCACTGTGACACTCCTTCAAGCTCCCCTTGGCCTTTGTGGGGTGGAAGCAGCTTCCTGGAAGATCGTGCTGCAGTTTTAGCTCCCAGTTGCTTCATGTTCCTTTTATGAAGGTTTAACTTGTGTGAGTTGGGAATTCTGCTTTTTGTTTGGTTGGTTTTTTTCCTGGTTTTGGGGGGAGGGGGGATTTTTTTCTTACAATTACTCTTTTGGGATATCCTGCAATGGATTGCTACATGGTGTGATTCTTGGGGCTGTCCTGCACAGGGCCAGGAGTTGGAGTCGATGATCCTGATGGGTCCCTTCCAACTCAGCATATTCTATGATTTTTAGCTTTCCTTTTTGTGAGAGTCATCAGCATAATACTGTGGTGGGTAGGGTCTAGGACTGGATTTCCAAGTAGTCTCCATTCCTGAAGTGGGAATACTTAGCAAATGAAAATATAGATAGGGAAAGATATGCAGGTTTTAAGAGGAGCCTCTGCCCTCAAAGCTTTTTTTTTTCTTTCTTTTTTCCTCTCCTTCTGTTGGGTAATCCAACCTCTGGAGAGAAAGAAAATCAGGGGAAACAGGGCTTTGACTTATCACAGCCTTACAGCTTAGAGCTTTCATTGGACTTATTTTGCTTTTCCTAAACTCTGGAGGTTCTGAAGGGAGGACAAAGCTGCTTACCTTGCTTTCATCCTCAATGAAATAGAATCATTTGGGTTGGAGAAGACCTAAGATCATCGAGTCCAGCCATAGATATATAATGGATACTTGGTTGTATAAAAGCATAACTAGGTTGATCATGTCCAAAAAGGGCTTGAGCAAGAGTCCTTGCTAGTTTTGCTGACACCTGTTTCATATGAATTTGTGTTTTCAGCATCAGTAATTCTGTACACCTAAGGCTGCAGTATTGGTGGTAGGATGTGCTCTGATACAAATCATCTCTTCTGTATTTATTTATTTATTGCTAGATTTCAACCACCAACTGCTTCCCCTACTCCTTCCCACCTCTTCCATTCCTGGTAGTAATGCAAAATGAACTGTATGTAGTCATGCACTTTGTATTAATGTATTAGAAATCTATGGAACCTGTTTTGTACTTTTATACTGTTCAGACACTTGTAATCCAACCTTTTTTTTACTAGGGTAATGAATAAATTTAGACTTATTTAGAAAATAAGCAACTTCTCCCCTGTTTGTTTCAACTCTCTTCTGCTAATTAGACTTGGTGTTGGAACCAGGCCAGACAACCCATGTTTCTATTTGAACAACACCAAGGGTTTTTTTTTTTTCTTTTTTAAAGGTGGAGTGAGGTAATTCTCTTCCTATTTAATTTGGAAAGAAGAGCAGAGCAAAGGAAGGAGGTGGTGTTTGTTATGTCAGACAGCTGTCTAGGGGCAGAATCAGAGCCTTCCCTTGGCTCCACGTGCGCGTCAGGCATTCCTTCCCTGGGAATGGGTGGTGCTGACATTTGGTGTTCCCTCGCTCTCTTTCTAACTCGCCATCATTCGTTGAAGACCAGCTGAAGTAACAGTGTTAAAGGGTTGGTGCTGACAGCATTTGGGAACATCCCTTTCCAGATCCAGCGGAGTCGGTGGCAGAGACTGGTGCTCCTCTACTGGAGCTGGAGCCTGGAGTGTTCCTTCCCACGACAGGCGTAGTCAGCTGGATAAGCTCCAGCAGACTGGTGGGAGCAAGGTCTCTGGTAGGAGCTGTCCGTGAGTAACTGAGTTTAGAAGATAATGGGGAAAACATTGCAACTTAAGCTTGTTGCGAGAGACTATTTTGGACTTTAGCGGATTTATTCCTGCTGAGACACTGGCTGTTTTCTTACAAGTTGAGTAGGATGATATTCAGAGATTTATTTAAAAATCCTGTCAGAGAAAGCTCTGCATAGACTGCAAGACCACATGATTTTAGTACAATAGCGTCTATTTTGGATGTGTTTACATTATCTGCTGAAGATGTGAGCATAGTTCGGTTCACCTAAAACGTAAAGGTCTGTCTAAAATTACTGAACAGAAGCAGGTGCGCCAAAAAGTGTTTTAAAAGCAGGTAACGTTCTGTGTAACCCATTATGTGCAACTTTCCATCCTGTTTCAAATAATTAATTCCTTCTCTCTCTTACGCTGCTGCTGCACAGCAGTGACTACAGCTACTCTCAGGGTAACCTCTGGGTGCTGAGAACTTCTGTGTGGATGGACAGAGGGCTTTGTTTGTGGGGCAGAAAACCTAATATGGAGGGTTACAGCTGTGGAGGAGGAAGCTCCTGTGGGAACATTGGGGAGGCATCTTCAGAGCAATGTACAATGAAATCAGGAAGTAAAATCCTGCATCAAGCCCTCCTGTGCTTCACCTGAATCAGCTGTTGCAATGACAAGTGTGTCATCTGCTAGAATATCTCACAATGCATGCATTATAAAGGTACTTTACAGAGGATTGTATTATACTCAAAAGACAAGAAAAATATGGCATGTGGCAAGAAAATATTTTGTTGGAGGCCACCAATGGGCAGGGAGCAGATCCGTGATTTCCAAAGCCTGAGCTGGGTGTCCAGTGCTGCTGCTGAAGCATGCAATGGCAAGTTCTGTTTCCTTTTGTATGGTGCTGCATGAAGAGTAATTTTATTCTGATCTGTGCAATTTTGAAGTTTCTCTGTGACCTCTACAGCACTGAGCCTATGACCTGCTTTCTGAGCAGATGACGGTGCCATCCAGCCCCAGTGACCAAAAGTTGCAGCTCTTAAGAAGTCATATAAAAACTTGAGTTTCAATATGATATAAGAAGAAGGGAAACTCCTCCTAAATGGTCCTTGTAGTATGTAATGTAATTTTTTATGTTGTCCAGACCAGGGGTAAGAGCAACCTGCCATGTATTCTGCAGACCTGGCCCTGCGAGTGCCAACACCAGAGACACAGCTAACTCCCTTTTGGTTCTTGTTTTCTGTTTTCTTCCTGTGGAAATCTGTCCATGAGGAGGAAAGAGAGCACATGTCCAGATGCTGAAAGTGGCACCAGGAAAATGCTGCTTCCTCCGTATAAACAGTCTACAGCAAACAAACACAAAACCCATGCTCCCTTTCAGGATAACTGTATATAGGATTTGTAAAGCTGTTGGAGGTATCTCTTTGGTTGTGATGGACATCATGTAGCCAATGCAGCTAACCCCACTTTGCTGTTTGGAGGAGAGGTTCCAGTTTGTATTTCTATTGCAAATTCCATCTTTGTATTGTCCTGCAGCAGCTTTGAATTCTGTTGGTGATGAACAGCTAAGTTAATGGTTATGGGCTTACAAAGAAGTTAACACATTCTGGGAGAAAAAATGGTATGCAGAGCACTCGTGTACTCAAAATCCTGAATGTATTTGGAGTGGACATGGAGTGAATATTTCAAGCCACGTAGCACAATGAATTTAGAGTTTGTTCCTCTTCTACATTTATCTGTGAGAGTTATTTGGAGAATACTTTCTACTGTATCAGAGAGAGGTTATCCCTGCAGGAGTCCATGACATCCCTCAGTTCTGGGGAAGGGACTGTTCATGCTCCTGCTCAGGTTTCCCCGATAGCGGGGAAAACACGGACGTTTAGGAGGAGATTGAAAAGCCTCAGACCCCGGGACCGCCGGTGCTGGGGGGGGGGGCGAGGCCGGGCCGGTCCCTCCCGGCGGCCGCGAGGTGGCGCTGGCCCGGCCCGGCCCATCCCGGTAACAGGGACCGCCCGTCCCTTCCCCGGCTGGCTGGCCCGGCGTCCTGGGCATTCCCGGCTGGCATTCCCGGCGTCCTGGGCATCCCCGGCTGGCAGTCCCGGCGCCCAGGGCATCCCCGGCACAGCCCAGGGATGGAGCTGTGAGTTGCCCTCGCTCAGGCATTGCCGGCAGCGCTCGGCTCCCCGCATCGCACCGGCACGGCCAGCGCCTCGGCGCGTAAAATACCAGCAAGGACCTCCTCCACGGGCACACGAAGCTGGGGCTTTAATCACTTTAATTCCATCTCAGCAAAGAGCTACTGCCCCCCCCCAAAAAAAAAAAAATTTTTTTTTTTAACTGGGCAAACCTAAGTGGTACCTAAAGTGATGGTCTTTGCTGTCAACCACAGTAAATAAGTGTCATTGTCTCATCCAAGCCAGGTGCCACCAGCTACAGGGTTTGGCCCACTGAAAGTTGTTGGAGACTATAAGGGATGCAGGGGAATGACTGCTAGTGGCATCCCTTAGCAGGGAAACAGCCCAGTGGGTGATGCGCAGGTCTGTCAGCTCTGATCGCTGCTGTGTGGTGATGTGAGAGCCACAGCCACGCTCACAGCAGTGCTGGCCCCTGGCGCTGCCTGTGGTTCTCAGCCTGTGGTTGCCCTGCGAGGTTCCGAGAGCAGCGCTCCACTTGGCTGCCCTCCACAGCAAAGTAGGGCACGGGCCCAGCGCCGCTGCAAGCTGGTATGCGTGGCAGGAGATTTTCTTAGAAGCTGGGCTAGAGATGCTTCCCTGCTGCCAGGTCTGTTCCCAATAATTTAAACTGTGAAACAGCGAGCCTTGGTGATTGGCAACTCCTGAGTGTTTCACCTTCTGACATCTTAGAAGTAATTGCTCCCTGATGACTCTGCCTGATCTGGCATAGCTTGCCCCTTGGTGTTTGCCTCCCAGTGATGATCTTTAGGGAGAGCACACATCAGGTCATAAATCAGTGGGTGGGCTTTGCTGCCACATCAAGAGGCTCTGGCGTTCTTCATTGCCCCTTAGTTGCTGGCATGCCTTCTGTGACTTTTATCTTCCAGAAATGAAAATGCAGGACACACAGGAGGAACACATGGCATCTATTGCTTATGGAGTCCGCTAAGTATCAAGGGCCAAATCCTGCTCAAGGATGCAGACCACTGCAATTGAATCAATCTGCCATTGTTCATCTGAGAACAGGTGCAAATTAAATGGCTGAGAATTTTACAACTGATTCTCAGACACAATGTAACCAGGATGAACAACTTTTTTTTCCACTCCAACGAGATTTCTTAGACATGAACTGCTGCTGCTCATTAACATTGCCTTAATTAGGCCATGGCATTCCACAGCAGTTTGGTATGGAAGCCAAGTTTTGATCTAGTAGGAGGAGGTCTTTCACCTGCTTGAGAAACCTTACTAAGTAATTGGAAAATAGTCTTAAACGGAGCTCAAGGTGCCCTAGAAAGAAAAACTGAGTAAAATCTAATCATGTTATATACTAGCTCTCCTAAATAACATCACCTCTGTAACACCACCTTCTTAGATCCCGCCCCCTGTTTTCTCTCCCTCTCTCAGCTTTGTCTCTTTTAATGTTTCTGTAATTTCTGTCTAGCCTGTTGGATAGACTTTTGAAGTCTGAATGGTAACTGATCCTGGTTTTGCTGCTGGCTCTACACCTTTGGGAGTAGATGGGAGTCCTGATACAAGATGATTGTTTAAAATGAAGATCAGATGGAAAATGAGAGAGTATCACGTAGATTTCACAAGAAGACTAAGCTAATGTTCCTCTTAAGAGAAAATAGAAAAAAGTAAGTTTTCTAAATAAGGAAAAATGTGATTTTTCTAAATGTAAACAATGGCACTAGTATAATGCATGTTTCTATTGCAGGTGAGAAATGTGCTTTATAGGGAAGGTATGAGAGAATACGGAGATATGTGAGAGAGTGGAATAAAAGGAGAACTGAGAAACATCAGGACTCAGATTTTCAGTGGTATTGGCACACAGTAACCATCTGTTTTCTCTTTTGCTTCTGGAAGGCCTCTGTCAGCAGACAGGAGGCAGGAGCTTCGCCTCATCTGTATTAGCAGCTTTCCATGTGAGACGGGCGGTTTGCTGGGCAGGCACTTTCCCCTCTTTTGAAGGCGGGTGAGTAAAGAGCCCGTCCCCTCCGCATCACCACCCATCGTTTACACAAGCTAACCCTGGGCTATTGTCTGTGTGAACAGAGCTCTGTGCAGCACGATGTTCGGCTCCCAGGCTTACATGGGAAGCTTGTGAGCTGCAGATGGCTGCCCGGGAGCAGCGTTGGGGCTGCGGGGAAGGCACACAGCCCAGCAGAGACCCGCTGCAGTAACAGCGTGGAGAGAGCTGGCTTCCCACGTGTCCTCCCTGGAGCAAAATCTCCAGCCACGGTGACCCTGTGTAGGTTCCTCAGACCCATTTTGACCTGCAGGGAAAACAGAAAAGAAACTAAGACTAAATAGAAATGATTTAATATCGGTGCAGGAAAGGGTAATTCAGACTTTTGTGGGCTTTGAGGGGCAAGGGAGAAGTTATGGAGGGGAAAT